GTCCCGCTCCCCTGCCAGCCTTCCTCATCCGTGAGGCCATCAGACATACTTCTACCCGACGATGCAAGCAGTGTCGCTACAGACACGCTTACTACACTGTGGAAAACTGTGGTGGCAGTTAGACGCCGGCAACCAGTAACACAGCTGGCCCACAACTGTCCTTGGACGCTTCCAGAATGTAAGGTGACTGTGCATCCAAAAAATTCAAAACAGTTTTGGAAGCGGTCAAGAGGCGGGCGCTGGAGGCTGGGGACTGAGATTTAATAGAGAAAGTCGGGATGCCTGAATATGAAAAGGGACCTGAGCAGGTTGTTGAGGGAAGTAGTGAACCCACAGAGGGTATTATCCAAGCCTTTCCTGTGCAGAAAGAACTTCCTAACTCAGGTCAATTGGACAAACATGAAGTTATCTGTTGGAGCGTGGTTCAAGATCTACAGTCCAAAGTGGCACAATATGGACTAAGTTCTCCTCAAGTCATGCAGATTATTAGAATACTAAATACTGACTTGCTCTCTCCATCTGATATTAAGCATCTTGGTCAGGTATTATTTCAACCTGTTCAATATGCAGTCTTCGAGGCCAATTGGAGAAGGATGGCTGAAAGAACTGCAGCTGGGAACATGCAATTATCTCCAACCAATCCTAGATATGGAGTTCCAGCAGATGCTCTTATGGGAGCTAATGGGTTCTCTCATCCTGATGCTCAAGCTACCTGGCATCCTCAGGTCCTTGAGCAGGCTCAAAAAATTGGTATGGGAGCCCTATTAAAAGCATAGACATGGCTGCTCCTAAAACACGATATGTGAAGATATCTCAAGGACAGAAAGAGCACTTTTTATCCTTTGTGGAGAAAATTGTTGCAGCCCTCGAAAAACAGGTTGAAGATGAGACCTTGCGGCAGCTCTTGTGCAAACAACTAGCGAGAGATAATGCCAATGATGAATGCAGAAGAATTATAGATGCTTTGCCAGGGAAACCCACAGTAACAGACATGGTCAAAGCCTGCTTGAAGGTAGGATCTGAAGATCATAGATCTGCTCTGGCTGCAGTTCTGCAGCCTATTCAATTCAAAAATTCTGATCGTAGACCAAAAAGGCAACCTAAGAGTGAGAGCAACCAGAAACAGACCAGACAAAAGAGGAAAAATAAGGACAACAGGAGAGTTGCTCGCTGCGTGAGATGCGATAGGCCAGGTCACTTTGCAAGATACTGCGAAGCTACGTACCATGCCAATGGACGACTCTTGACACGTTGAGGAAACTTCCCCAAGAGCGCAATGGGGATGTGTGCTCAGACAGAAACGTTTCCCCAGGGCATGGTGCCTACTCAGCCAGCTTACAGCCAGCACAAAGGGATCCGCCGGGGTGTATGTATGCACGGCAACAACAGTCGTCTTAGAATCCTGTTGTGTCTATAAGGTTCCCTTGGATGCATTTGGGCCTCTAGGACATGGACTGAGTGCATTGTTGGTGGGAAGATCTAGTGCCACCATTCAAGGGATCTTTGTGCACCCAGGCATTATTGACGCCGACTTCACAGGACAGATTTGTGCCGTGATTTCCACACCCACCCCCCCGTCACAATACCTGAAAAAACTCAGATTGCCCAACTCATACCCTTTAAGTCGTGTGTTCCTAAGGCAAAACAACGAAGTCGTGAAGGTGGTGGCTTTGGTTCTACAGGACTTCCGCAGGTTTATTGGACTGCAGATATCTCCAGCCAAAAGCCACAGATGACCTGCACCTTAATATTGCCAAATGCCCAGCTGTCCAAGATTGGGCTCCGAGGTTTGATCGACACGGGTGCTGATGTGACAATCATCTTCTTCTCTGCGTGGCCTCCTACGTGGCCTTTAGCCCCTGTGGGGTCAGCCATTGCAGGACTGGGGGGAATCGCACAGAGTTATCGAAGCGAACGACCTGTGGTGGTGAAGAATGCAGAGGGGCAAACAGCTACGTTTGGGTCATATGTCACTGCAGCCCCACTTAACCTCTGGGGGCGGGATGTATTGGCGGCTGTCCAAATTGGGACAAATTTTTGATGGGGGCCACTGTACTGAAGGGCGCACAGTATCCTACGTTGCCTTTATGGTGGATAGCAAACAAACCCATCTGGCAACCCCAGTGGCCTCTACCGAAAGAAAAATTAGTCGCCCTTCATCACCTAGTTAAGGAACAATTACAACAGGGACACCTTGAACCTTCCACTAGTCCCTGGAATACTTCTGTCTTTGTAATAAAGAAGAAATTAGGGAAATGGAGATTGTTGCAGGATGTCTGAAAAATCAATGCAGTGATGGAAAGCATGGGGGCATTGCAGCCTGGTATGCCCTTACCCACCATGATTCCAGCAGGGTGGGAAATCCTGATCATTGATTTGAAGGACTGTTTTTTCACAATCTCCTTACATCCTGATGACAAACCAAAGTTCGCCTTTACTATACCTGCGGTTAACAACGCTGAACCTGCAAAGAGATATCAATGGAAGGTCCTACTTCAGGGCATGAAGAACAGTCCAACGCTTAGATTGTTTGCTTCTGAAAGAAGTAAATAATGCGGCTCTGTTTTCTCTAATAAAAACTTTATGGTGTGCCATTCAAGCTCGAGTTCACTCATATTACCTTCTGCATATTCATAGTCACACCAACTTGCCAGGTTTCATAACAGAAGACAATGCCAGGGCTGCCATGCTAGCTAACCCTGCGTGGGTAGCACCTCAGCTTCAGCCCCAGCTTGATCTGTGCTGCAGGTGCACTGGTCTCCAGACTCAACCTTAGACACAGCCCTGTCTGTCCACAGACCTTATTGGTTTAGAATTGTGGACTTACCTCCCAGCTTGATTCTTTAGGAGATGTGCAATGAAACAACACTGTGGCCCTCCACGTCTTAAGACCTTTCCGCTTCCTTTCTTTGCGTCACTCGGTCAGGTTTGGGGAGGAGAGGAAGGAAAAGCGGGTGAGGTTGCTGAGTGCCAATGAATGAAAGAAGGAAAGAAAAGTGTTCTCTTCAGCTCCTTTCTCCGAGGCCTTTAGTCTACTGCAAGAACCTGGAGGCTCTGAGAAACCTCCACCTCCCTCTCTTTGAGCAATTAAATTGAGAGGACTCAAGTCAGAGGACTTGTTTACATTCTGTTCAGAGCCTAAAGCACCCCATAGCCTGGACATTCCTTCGTTTCACATCTGACTATCGCCTATTATTCTCTTGCCCAGCACCATGGCTACATCTTCCTGAAAACTACCCCATAGGGACTAGCCAGTAACTATGAGAT